CACAGCTCTGGAGACATGTAGTCTCCCTCAAAAGTTTTGTAAATGAAAAGAACCATTGTTAGCTTTGCTGACCAAACATGCCCCCTTCCCCTTGGCTAGAATAGATAACTAAATAGATCTTAAAGGAACCCTCCCCTAAGAAAAGAACTGAATCAGGGTTGAAACTCAACTGCCTCAACACCATGTTGTGAATATCAGCAATGTGAACTGTGAAAATGCAATGTAACCAATTGAATGTGATCAAGGCTGTAAAACCCTATAAAAGAAGGAGCTGGAACCCAGTGAGGGATCGATCAGGGCACTGCCATTAGGTGTCATCGATCCCTATTGATGGAGTAAACTTTTGTTATTTTACTTCCATTCTGCTGCCTCTCTGTGTCACTTGCCAATTCCTTCCATAACAAAGGGAGATAAAAAAACACTTATCAGGAGGATACTCTATGCATTATTTGGTGATCTCTGTCCTAACTGCTCTTGTCTTCACAAAGCATTAATACTTTTTCCTCCTTCCTTGGACACAAAATGGTTTCAATAATTTTCTTTGTTCGTTAAATTTATATTAGTAATTTAAATACCAGCCACCTTTTTTTTTCCCCACTTGCAAGGCAGGTGGTGGAACCACTGAGCTAAATCCCTGGCCCTGATTTTTAAAAAAGTTCTATAAAAAAGGTGAGTAAGAGCCTTTGTTTTAAATTCCATTGTTTTGTTTGCTTGTTTGTTTTTTTCTTTTTGGTACCAGGGATTAAACTCAGGACTACACTCAGGACCCTGAGCTTGCAAGGCAGGCGGCAGAACCACTGAGCTAAATCCCATGCCCTTAAATTCTGTTTCTAAGGTTCCCCAAGTACAGTTTAAATGTACTCTGACTTTTACCTAGGAAAATCATGACTACAAAGCTTAACTTCAAAGATCCTGCTAACAAAATGAAACTACAATGGAATGCCTTATTTTTTCTATTACTGAAATTAAGTACAAATAATAAAACCCTTCACATTTTATATCCCTCTGAAATATAGCACCCCAATTATATAGCACCCCAATGTATAACACTAATATCTCCATCAAAATAATCTGAACTTTATTCACCAACAACAAATATCTAAGATTAATAAAAATTCCTCTTATAAATTATAACCAAGACAAGACCAAAACACTAACAAATGATGTTTCAGAAGGGAATCTTGTAATCAAGTAACTGTTTAACATACGTGATGGAGAGTCTCTAAATCAGGAGTAAACACTGGTTCCTTTAGAGCTTTCTATGAGTACTTCTTCATCCTCTTCTTGCTCTGTTTGTTCTACAGTGTTGGTAACTGTCAAAATGAAAAGTAATCAATTAGAGTTCTGGCTTCAAGTTTAATACTACCAGCTTCTATTCTGACATAATAGTCAAGTGGCTGACCAATATACTACAATAATTTTTAATAGGCATATGAATTTAGACAAAAACTAAACAGCAGAAATTACTAGTAAATTGAAATATTTAAAATTTTGTATGCTAACATATAGTGTGTAAATAAAATTTTTATTTACAAACCTGATGAAGCCCAGAACTTGGAGGCAAGGAAGTTGAGACAGGAGGGATCACATGTTGGAGCCCAGTGTGGGTGACTTAACAATTTTAGTGAGATCTTATCTCAAAAATAAAAAGTAAGGGGAAAAAAAAGAGGAGCTCGGGATTTAGTTTTATGTGAAGGCACTGGGTTCATTCCTCAGTGCCAAGAAGAAAAACATTAAATATCCATGTCCAGATTCTACAACCTTAAAGATTCAGATACATCATCTTCCAAACTGATTTTTCGGAAGTTATAGTTTGTAAGGTGTGTATGTTAAGGGCTCAGATGTGTAAAACCAATTATTCCCCAATTCCGAAGCTTCCAATTTGGCACGTGTAACAATTATTTTCATCCCATTTATTTAGAAAATGACAGATGATGCCATTCCTTGAGAGCTTCCAGTGACTTTAATATTGTTTGTACTTTCATATTTTAGACAATCTTGTGGATTGTAATTACTGATCACATTTTCACACTGGGAATTATAGCCATTCTAGAAAGCTGAGACTACTCAAAACCTTGTTAATTATTATTAATTAAATACTTTAATTACCCAAGAAGCCCAAAATTCTTAAGAATTTATAAATTGAAAATAAGTTATTTGCAAAATCACCCGAGGATGGAATACCCCTTGACACTTTATAGAAAGACAGGAAGTATGCGACACAATTTTAACCTGATGTGGAATAGGTCATCACAATGTCACCCACACGAGCATAGACTTCAGTAAAAGTCGTATCTTCAGTTTACGGATGTGGTTTTGAAGATGAAAGCTCAGCCCAGTCATAACCAAGTTCAAGCTTGGATTATTGTACTTCTCTGTGATGGTAACCTCTGCCTTGACTCATCTAAGAAATGGCATGACATTTAAATGCTATATTAGGTATAGTGGTCGTAATCCATAACTATATGCTATGAAAAGTAAGGCATTACATATAATACTAAATTTTTATACTTTTGCAGGTATACACTGCCAAGCCAACTGGGCATAAAATTTTTAAATGAAATAAATTTATATTTCTAATGAAGACTATCAAAAATAAGTTTGGCTGAATGAAATATAAATTATTATTCATTCACCAACTGAGAGCAAGTTCTTTTTCTCATCCGATTTATTCTTGGGCACTCTGGTTTCTTTTTCAAAGGTGAGGTTGCAGTCTTCTGAGTAGCAGGCTGAATGAAATGTGCAAACAGCTCTGTCTGCTTTCATAAATATCCAAATCTATTTGTTTGATCAGTTTGCTGCAAAAAATGTAAGACACATTTCATCAAAGCTTCAGAAATCAATTTTAACATGTTTCCACATGATGAAGTTAGCAATTCTGTAAAACGTAATAAAATGGCTGTCTCAAAAGCACTTTGTCAAATAAGACACCAAACACACAAGTCTACAGTGCATGATTCCACTTATGGTATACGAAATGCTCGCTAGAGACAGAAAGCAGATCAGAAGTAGCAAGGGGGTTGGGGCAGAAATGATGACAGAGGCAGGAGCAGACTTTTGAGAAGATAAAAGCTATTGTAGTAGTGTTTAAAAGACTACATATACCTGTCAAAACCCAGTAAACTCTAAACTTAAAATTATTTTATGTAAAATATTTCTCAGCATAATTGACAAAAGAAAATTCTTACACATTCAAAGAAATTATGCAATTAATGTGAATTTGTTTAGAAGTACAGGGAAAAATGCACTGGTCATTATCAGTAAGAATGATGCCCAATTTTAGAAAGGCATCAGGCTTAAACTGTTTTTAAGTTAGTGAAATGTTCCACAGTTCAATGTATTTTCCTTTCATATCTGCCCCCTAAACATTGATGTGATTGTTTCCCATTATCACACCCAGAGAATGGGAGAATTTCAACCAGAAAATACTTGGAAACAAACTTTCAAGAAGTAATGAAATCTAGAGCCTTTAGCCAACAGACTTTTTTATAGACATGACGATCACTTGGTGAAACAAAAGACGAGACCAGAAAAGTTCAATAAACAGAAAAAGCAGTAAGCACTGCTGCCTATAAATGTTCAGAATGTCAGTTCTCGAGAACTACAAAGGGATATTTTACTTAGCAAACACTGGAGGTTATAAGAGCTATCCGTTAAAGAAAAACAATTTTGAAAAATCACACTACTATAAAAATGAAGGTCCAATTTTTCTATCAGCAAGGCACACAGTGTTTCAATGGGTCACAAATGACAGTCACAAATCTAGACAGGCATAGTGGCACATACCTATTATCCCAGCACTCTAGAAGCCTAAGACAGGAGACTTACAAGTTAAAACTCCAGCCTGAGCAATTTAGAAAAAATTTTAAAAAGGATTGGGGATGTAGCTCAGTGTAAAGTCTCTGGATTCATTCCCCAGTACACATCTGCACAACAAGCCGTCAACATACTCCTCCCTCTAATGTCCTACAGATGACAAGCCTTAGTAGTTGCTTTTCATTTTATAAACTGTTTTAGAACTACTGTACTGAGATACATTATGTGTATGTCCATATTTAGCACAAATCTGTATATAATAAAAGTCCTCATACGGCTAGGTGTTAGGGCTGAAAAAGACTATTCAATTATCGTAATTATGGTTTGAGATAAAAATATTTAACTAGAAGCTTTTCTAGAGTATTCAAAATCTCAAATCATTGTTGCTAACTAGGGGTGGGGGGGCACTTTGTTCCTTGAGGGACTAAGGTTTAAATGAAAGTGGCTGAGGCAGGAGGATCCCAAGTTTGAGGTCAGCCTGCCCTACAGATGGGGAGGGGTAGAGAGGCGGGAGGAGGAGGGGATGGGATACTATTCGGTCTGCAGGCCCTGAGTTTAATTCCCAGTACGGGAGGGAGGAAGAGAGGAAGGAAGGAATTAAAAAAGAAAGGCTGCTCACTTCAGCAGTCAGCTGGGCGGGGCGCCCCAGGTATGCGCATGCGCTCTCTTCCCGCCCGCTCGCGCCCCCAGCGCCCTCTTCCTCCTCAACACCTACCTCTGGCAGCGCGCGGGGGTGGAAGGCGCTCCGGGAAGGTCCTCGGCGGCGGAACCGAGGTTCCGTCTGCGTCCCCCGATGGCAGCCATGGGAGAGGCGACCAAGACCCGGGGGCCCACGGAGCGAGAGGCTCCTCAGGTTCCGCCTCCTGCGGCTCCGAAGGGGCTTCGGGTCCTCGTCCTCCTCGCCGGGCTCGGTTCAGTCTGTTTACCTCAAGGAAGGAAACAGCGACGCCGAGGGGCGGGGCCGGCCGGGTCGCTAAGGTCAGAGAAGGGGCGGGGCTTGGGTCGCTAAGGCCAGGGGGCGGAGCCACCGGGTCATTTTGGTCAGGGAGGTCCGGCCAGTTGGAGGGGAGCAGGTGGCTGGAAGGAGAAAGGGAAGCAGAGACAGGCGGGGAACTCACTTCCCTCCCTCTCTCACTATCGCCAGATTTAGGAACAAGTGCCTACTGTTAAAATATTTTTAAAAAATTACTTTTATTAAAATATGTTTTTAGAACAAGATTACATTCATTGTGGGGAAACAGTACATGCATAAAACACATCTCAATTCTCTTTTTTTCTCCCCTTTCCCCACCACCCTCAAGTTAAAACTATACTGATCTTAACCGAGAAAAATGGCCATCAGAGATAAATACGATGATGGTAGAGGACATGCTGTTTGCCCTGCATTACTTTTATTAAAATATGTTTTTAGAACAAGATTACATTCATTGTGGGGAAACAGTACATGCATAAAACACATCTCAATTCTCTTTTTTTCTCCCCTTTCCCCACCACCCTCAAGTTAAAACTATACTGATCTTAACCGAGAAAAATGGCCATCAGAGATAAATACGATGATGGTAGAGGACATGCTGTTTGCCCTGCCTGATCTTCTCTGCCTAGTCACATGTCTCAAGAGACTGACCTATAGGTATTATACCTCCTGGTTGCTGGCTGGCTTGAGCCAACAGCTGGTCACAAGAGCTGGTCACCATGGCTCCATCCCTGCGGGTCTGCAGTTGGAATGGCTGTGTCCTCCTACACTACGACCAGAGACTCTGTTGGTGACCATTCTTTACCAGATACAGCTCTTGCTGGGTGTCAACAAGTGCTCCTTCCACTGACTCTCTTAGTTCTAGAAGCGGTAATAGCATCTTCCTGTTCCAGTCACTGGCTGTTGCTCAGGGTTTTAAACTTCTTATTGTTGGTTCCTTTGTCCTTTCATTTCACTCTCTTTAGTGACCCCTTTGAGTGTGCTGTCTTTTCCTAGCAGGAACATGACTGCTATCCTGACAGAAGACAAGTGTCTAATGTCTAATGTCAATGTCTAAGCGTGACGTCTATAGTGGATTTGAAGTGTGTCCCCTGACCCAAATTTATGTATAAGTCCTAACCCCTGGTGTCTAGAATATGACTGCTTTTTGGAGATAGAGCATTTTTTAGCATGTTGCATTTACTTTAATGTTTTTATTTAAATTTTTATTTTTATTAGCACATCTGTGCAGTACATAATGATTACATTCATCTTGGGGAATTGGCACGTGTAAATACATCTCAATTGTTTCTATTTCCCTTCCTTTTACCTTCTATGCCTCATTTCTTGGCACCCTCCTCATTTTCAGATCTTGGAAATAGAGGTTTGAAAGGGTACTTAAAATTAAATTAGTAGATCTTTTCCAATGGGAAGAGGATCTAAGAATGGAGGAAGAGGGCAGTGAAAGAAGGAGAAGGGAAGTAAAAAGGATTAAGATTCAATATGTACTTGTACCAACTTCCCATGGTGAATGTACTCATGATGTGTTGCAAACATATGCTAAAAAAAGATTAAGTGAGTCATATAGGTGGGCTCTAATCTGACTGGTATCTTTGTAAGAGTGGCTAGGCATAGTCTATACCAGATGACAAGGTTTCTATTTCACAATCCAAGGGAGCCAGTGGAAGGAGCTGCTACATCAGTAAGAGCTGTGTCTGTTGGAGGAGGTTTCACCAACAGACTCTTTGGTCTTAAGGTAAGAGGACATGTGTATTCATGTGTGCATACTTTTATGAGACTCAGGCAAGATTATATTCTGTCTCTCACTCTCTCTCCCTCTCTCCTTTCCTTGCTGGGGATTGAACCCAGGGTCATGTGCACACTGGACAAACTGTACCACTGAGCAACTTATACCCTCTTACATACTGTCTTGTATGACAGTCCTTATGCCAGGATTTCTTCTTTGGGAAACCTCAGCTTTCGCTCTTCAGGCCTTCAACTGATCGGAACCAAAGCATGGAGAGTGATTTGCTTATTCAAACTCAATGAATTGTAAATATTAATGACATCTACAAATATCGTCATAAGGCCATGTTTGATCAGACACATGGGCACACAGCACATTCAAGTTGACTCACAGAGCTAACCATCACATGCCATATTTGATAGTAGTTTTGGGGGGAATTAAGTTTTCTATACCATTACATATGCCCTACACAGAATACTCCAAATGTTCTGGGCACTGCATAGATCACATACTGATTAAAAAGCTAGTCTCCAGACATAAGGGTAATAAATTCCTATCTGATGAAGTACAGAAACACAGCTCAAGAAACTTACTTTTCTCTCGGTGATCATTTATTTTTACTAAAAACAATGTATGTACACTAAATCATGAAATCCTAAGGTGTTATTCAATCATATTTAATAAAATGTCTCGTATTATTGATTCAGCTTGCACATGTGCAACAACAAATTGCCAGTTTATTCTGCATAAAACTCTTTAACAAAACTTGCCCCCTCCCCATGTGATACTGCAGCTCAAAAATGTTTTGCAGGGTTGGGAATTTAGCTCAGTGGTTTCAGAGCCTACCTTGCAAGTGAAAGGGTCCAAGTTCAATCCCCAGTAACACACACAAAAAAAAGTGTCTCCATTGGAGCCAGCTTATTCCCCAGGGATGCTTAATGCTTATTTACAAGGTGGCACAAAGATGAGTGACTGCAAAGAAGATAATCTCATCCTTTCTAAATACGATTTAAGGAGACTCAGTTGCAAAATGCTGGGTTGAATGGAACAAAGAGTTGAATTTTCCCAATCCCTTGGAGTTTCTGAATTACAGGGAATGCTTAAAAACTCTTCTGGAAATAATAAACTGTATTATTCCCCAGGTCGTTTTACATATAAAAACACTCTGTGATGACAAAGGTCACCCGCAGGCCCTTGTTTATTACTCTTCTACTCAGTGCTGGTACACTGGCTGGACAGAGAAATAACAGGTGTGTGCATGTGGTCATACTCCCAGGGCTTTCTATTTACAGCAAATCGCAGTATTTTGGCCTAAGAAAAAACAAGGGACAGTGCAGAAGTGGGTCTAGGGGTACATTTAATATCACAATTTTTTGGTTCAGGTAAAAAAGATTTAAGGTCTTCAACATCTCTGGCCCTTAGAGAAATGATTCTATCTTACTCCACAAAGAATGGTTATCATCAAGAAATCAAATCAAGGCAAGGGGTAGTGGTCCCTTTTGTGTGTTTTTGTGGGGGGCTTCTTCATTGTTGGTGGGAATGTAAACTAGTACAACCATTGTGGAAAGCAGTATAAGATTCCTCAAAAACCTAGAAAACAATACTCCATTTCATTCAACTGTTTCCCTGCTAAGGGTCTTCCCCAGAGTTGAAGACATATTACAGTGATACAAGCACAACCATATTTACAGCAGCACAACTCACAATAGCTAAATCTTGGAAGCAGCCTACATGTCCATTAATGGATGAATAAAGAAAATGTGGTATTTTTACATAATGGAGTACTACTCCGTCATCAAGAAGGATAAGCTTGAGTCATTTGTAGGGAAATAGATGAGGTGATAGTACTGAATGAGATGAATCAAAGAGAAACTCCAATACATGGTTTTCTCATATGAGAAACCCACATATGAAGAGCAAAGCAAAGTAGATTTAATAGAGAACAGGGAGATAGGTCTTTTGCAAATGGGAAGGGGACCAAGAGATGGAGGGAAGAGAGAGGGAAGGAGATGAAAAAAAGAATTAAGATGTGTTGTGTACATGTGCCAACTCTCCACGATGAATGAAACCATTCTGCACTGTAACCATGTAATAAAAATAAAAGATTTTAAGGATGGGCTGGAAGTACACATTTATATATTCTTATTAAATATTGGTAAATATGTTTATCTGTCATTTCAAAATCTCAGTATCCATTTTGTCTATTTAAAGGTCTTGAAACCAAACTGTTTGAAAAGTTTTATTAGACAGCAGAAAATATCTACAATGAGATCTTTTTACAAAAGATATGCAAAAGGAGAAAAATAAAATTTTACATATGATTTTACTATTAAAATTTGGGATTATCAACAATTGATTTAGGTTATCGGAGTTCACACAAAACTGTGTCTTTATGTAAAGGAAGCAGAAACTGCGCTAATCCCTTAACTAATGAGTTTGTTGAAATGTACAGATGATATTGAACTTAAGGATGTAAGGAAGATAATCTAAATGATCTGGCAACTAACTTTTATCTTAATGCCCACAATATTCGCTCCCATCATGGCTTTTCACCACCTAGTATTTTTTAAATCATATAAAAATGTACACATAACATCAGATGTTACTGAGAGTAATTACAGTAGGACAGCGATATTCCTGGTCTGTGTACCTGGATGACTCAGTTGTAGGACGATCCTGTACACTGACCCAACAGTGAAGGATAAGACCTGCCACCATGGCCCGAAGAGAGGAACAGAAAGACCATCCCACGTCGTCATGAACTGCCAAAGGCTGGGTACGCATTCAAAAGCCTGATGCCTGTACCTCAAAAATGGGCCAAAACAAGGAGGCATTAAAGGTGTTTGCGAGCAGCCAGCGATTATGACCAGTGTCTATGGAAAAGTGTGCAAACACAAAGTAGTTTGTATTTTAGCAAAATATAAAAAAATACTTTTTTCTGTAATGGGGGAAGACAACTTCCCACTGCGTGGATGTTCAATTTCCACTTTAAACACACTTATGAAGAGGAAAATTGTAAGCCCCACTAATTAAATACAAGAAGTTCAGAAAAAATTATGACCTCAATGTACAATGGTATTTCTATATCAAATTAAATTTAGCCTGATTAAATACAATGCATTTTGTGCACATACACACCCTCTCTCAGTACCTTTATAGAATTTTCTAGTGTTCACAGTAAAATTATACATAGATTAAAAATTGGTTTTGTAGCTCTGAGTGATATCTTCTGTGAGCTAAGTAGCTTACATTTTTCCAGTCTAAATTTTGACTTAAAAGCAGAACTGTGCTTTGGTACTGAAACCTTCATTGAGATCTTAGAGTATTATAAAATAACAAAAGGTATGAGAAAAAAAGATTTCTGATACATAAGATCTATAGTCACATGACTCACCAGTGGTTTCCATGCCCTGCCTTGCTGGAATCCAGCTGTCTGAAGTTGAGTTAGGGTTAAGGGTATGTGGTTAAGGGTATGTTCTTTTTTTTTTTTTAAGTATATGATTCAAATTCAGTTTAAGTGCATATTTAAGAACTTAATAAAAGGCATATTTTACCACACTGGAGACTGCTTATGCATTAAGTTTCACTATCAAGGTAATTTATACTTAATATAAGCCTTGGAATATAATTTCAACTACCTCTCAGTGAAGACTCCCCAGAAATGTTGGTTTAAAATCTGCTCTTGTACTTATGTTTGTGCAAATCAGCGTTTTAACCACTGCCCTGAAATAAGTCAAGGCAGAAAAATAAATTGTTTGTTGAGGTTTTATCAACTATAACTCCAAATACACATTACTCACAGATAATTCAGAAATCTTGTAATTCATAGTAATGAACTAAAATACTACAAATGGAAACTCAATATGCATTACATTGGACTTCTTAGGCAATATGTACTGAAGGAGCACATAAACATTTAAAAATACCATCTTCTATGAAACTGCCTTTTAATTTGTTATTACAATCTTTAATGTGCCTTAGTTTTCTAAAGCAAAACACCTTTCTCAATTCTTTTCCCTTTTTTGGGGGGTAGGGGATGCTTAGGATTGAACCCAGGGTCTTACATGGCTGCACTTATATTTTATCTTTGATTGAACTATGCCCAGCCCATCTATTCTTAAATATTCAACATAATGGTAAGATCTCTAAAAGTTTGTACTGTGGGTCCACAAAAATAGTAACTTGTAAAAAGTGAAGGAGAAATTACACTTAAAAACAGACATAACTGCTTCAGACTTTCTCAACAGGCAGCTTTAAAGATAATTAAAAAAATTTTTTTGAACTAATCAAATGTTTATTACTGTTTTAAATTTCAAAATATGTACATCCTCCAGGTAACACAATTCAGTATCTTTATATACCAACTGTGCTGTGTGTTTTAATAGTTTAGGCACATGTCAGTGATCTTTAGATTTTGGTTTTGGTTTTATTACAAAACAACTTGCACACCAAACTCGAACAATATTTTTTATTGAAACATTCACCTCAAAATGCAGTTGTGGGTTTTAGTGTTTTTTGTTGTTGTTTTGTTTTGTGTTTTTTGTTTTTTAAGAAGCAAGCATTTAAAAGCATCAAATGTTACTAGTCCAAAATTCATCTTGTTATAAACACATAGTTTGTGGACTGGGGAGATAAACCCAGGACATTAATCAGGCACAGTATTACGGCCAAAGGGCCAGAAATGAGAACACATCTGTATACTCAGGCAACAGTTAGAGGTCTGAAAAGAGGGGTCTTGTCTCTGCAGTGGAACTCTTATATCTACAACTCCCCAAATCTGTTAGTAAGTCTCAAATCACTACATAAGAGACTGTACATAATTTAGGTTAAAAACCAACTATACCTGCTTTCTAAATTATGTTGCAAAGCCAAGAAAGATGAATATAATTGTAGCCTCACTATAATTTGTAGTCCTGATATCCATGTCACAGTTTTATACCAGTCTTCTGAAATTCAGAAATCTGATCGGACTGTAAAATTTCAGAGTATAGCAAGACTCCTCCATTTTGTGAATCGGGGCAATGAATACAAGTCACAGTACAAAATCTTTAATTTTTTTCCTGGAAAAGCAATAGGTGCTACATATGAGGTTCACTTATATAACATCTATTTTTTTAAAAAAATGCAGATATAAAACATTAATTGCATAGAGATTTAAATCTAAGGCCAATAATATTTAGTAAAAAAAAAATTATAGAAAGGGCACTATGGTGTCCAAAGACAGAATTTCATTCTTAAGAGTAATAAATGTGAATTACTGTTCAATTAAAGAATCACAGTATATTGCTGTTACTAAGAGCAGATGTCAATTGTTTCTTTAATTCTAAACTGGAAACCAACACTAGGACTAATGAGAACAAAACTAAAACTCACTGTCTATACCTGATCAGTGTATTAGCACATCAGTGCCAGGTACGTACCTGATTTATTACATAATCCACCTTTTGCAAATGATATTTAATACATGTTAGCAAGTGTAAGAGCACAGCATCCCTACATGTCATCAATGATTTCCAGGCTTACGTGATAGTGTAATTATATTCAGTCTTTCAAAGGTGCAAGATCCCACCCTGCAGAATCTTCACTCAATGAACCAAAAACACTGTAATTAACGAAATATAACAAAGATCTACCATTAAAAACTAAATGTACATGAACCGAAGAACTGGATTCTGACACCTATATATACATTATCTTCTGCATTTTGGAAGGTAATAAAGGATGAATCCAACTATTGCCTGGTTTAAGCTAATAATTACGACCTGAAGCTTCAGGGAAGACAGCTAACTTGTGAATCTACTTCTCACGTTGTTAGACTGTAGATTAAACAGCAATGTCCACATCTAAAAGTAGCTTAGTTAACTTAGTAATGTTATACAGAGTAGTGTGAGGAAAAATAAGAACTTCTCAAGGAATTCTGTTAAAGTACATTGGGAATACCCAAACCAATGTTTTAAATGAAAAGTGCATAAATACAGTAATACTACAAGTGTGTTAACTACGAGACAAATGTTTTTCTGGGAGCTACACAATACTTTTTTTCCTACAGTATTTACATGTTATAAATTGTTCAGAAACCACAAAGCACCATTTACAGTCCAAATTGTTTATGTCGGAAAGGCCCTTTGATTTTTAACTCTGCTCACTGGATCATCTGTTTAAGAACAAAAGTGTTGAGATGACTTCAAGCAGGGTTCACTTCTGCTCAGAAATGGCAAAGCCGTGTTTTTACTTCACACTCTTGGTTGGGGTCTCAGATTCCGTGGACTGTCTGCCATCTGTCCAGGCCTCTCGGGTACTCTTCAGAGCCAGGGTCTTCTGCTGGTCCACCACGACGTAATCCACTCTCTCATCAGCCACACTGCTGCCGGAGCCACTGCTCTTTTGCTAAAACAAAGAAAACACCAGAAAATGCCACATATAAAGGAATGTTTCTGAACGAAATTCAGTCTCAAAACAGACATATATGCACTGTGAATCCTCCTGAAATTCTACTAGGCTATAAAAAATAATACTATTTATCAATTTCATCTCTCTCCTAACCATTACAGCATTTTCTCCTAAGTTTAAAATAGAAAACTAAAAGTGTAAATAAGCTTCAAATTGGATAATTCATAAAATGAAATAGGAAGAGAAGGGCTAAAGGAGTAAGGGAAGTGGAAAGAGTAAGGGAAAGGAAAGAAGAGAAAAGAAAAAATATGAGAAAAGGAAAAAATAGAAACAAAGTCTTTGTAAACAGGGAAGGGTGGAGGGGGTAAAGGGAGGGTGGGAAACGGGGAAAAAATAAGAACCAAGATATGTCATGTAAAAGGCACAAGATCCCAGTGATGAATGTAACTGTACCTTATATCTAAAAATTACCAATAAACTTAAGAAAGAATGAATAAATAAATAGATAAAACGGTGTCAGAGAAAAATTCAAACAACAACAATTAAAAATAACTCAAAGCTAATGCTCTGATCACAGATGAAATTCACAGAAAACAGGGATATACACAGCTTGGTTGACTTTTTAGCTTAAGCTTGACTTTTTTTTAAAGCTCAGAGAAGATGAATCAGTGTTTACTTTCACAGTCAAAAAATGTGTTTTGCCAAGCAATAATGCAGGAACAAACTACACAGATCAATGCCCCCTTATTCCTAAATTCCAACTAGAGACTAGATAACTTAAAACAGATAAAATTATCAATGCTGGGCTTACTAGAAAAATAAAGAAAGTAGGTAAAGTGTAAGAGAAATAGGAAGAGGGCTGGGCTGCTGCGTCCCAAGTGCAGCGTTGTCCTTAGGACAGATGTCAAACTCCGCAGAGCCATCAGGAGGGCTAAGGAAGGAACGATAAGGAAACCGAGGCTATTCTGTGAGGCCGGCCCTTGAGGAGAAGCAATGAGGTCCCAGGGTGTTGAAATTTAGGTCCTCAGGATTCCTCAATGAGCCTGACAAAAAAAAATGCACGAAGATAAAGGTAAGAAGGCATTGTTTCTGTGGTTAGTAGAAACAATAAACACACCTTTAAAAGGATATTAGTTTATTAAAACTACTGCATCAGCAGTAGAAAATATAAAGATGCATAAAATATTTAAAGGAAATCAAGACTAAAACTAAAAAAGAATAAACTAAGTAAGGAATAAGAAGCTATTAACACCAGTGAGGTACATCCCTAAAGGAATCAAATCATTTAGAAATATATAGATTAAATGAAGAACTAAACAATTAGGAAAAATTGAAAGTGAGTAAACTTAGTGACAGATGTACAGAAATTATCCAGTTAAAAAAAATAAGATGAAAACGATGAAAAGAAAGAGTGATGAGAGATGGGAAATATAGCAGGTTCTGAGAAACGAAGACTAAAAGGCATCTCAAAGGAAAGGATCAAAAAATTAGCAGAAAAGCAGTATCTAAAGACACTGAATGACTTTTCCAGAACTGAGAAAAATACACATCCAGAAAAAAGAAAAGCAGCTCTACTTGGACCAAGTAAGATACATATAAAAGAAATCTACTATATATCTACAAACCCTGTTATAAAATTGCAAAGCCCTAAAGACAGGAAAAAGCTTAAAATCAGCCAGACGGAAAAGACAGATGCCCTACAAAGGAATGACAGCACTGACTTTTCCCAAAAGGTACATAAGCAAGGTGATAGTGGGACAATATCTTCCATGGGTTGAGAAAGTTATTGTCAGTCAAGAATGAACAGTATGTACACTCAACAAAATTTCGTTTTCCAAGGATGTAGGCAAAAGAAAGACATTTAAATTAAAGAAAAACTGAAAGGAATTTGCCAACAGACTAATGGAAAACTTCTAATGACTATATTTCAAGGAGGAAGGAAAAATTATTACAGAAGGAAAATCAGAGATTTAAGATGAAATGATAAAGAAGTCAGCAAACAGGTAGGGAAATTCAAATATTACCATACGCAATCAGAAGAGTAATAGTTCTACCTAGCTTGTGGGTTTAACAAAAATAAAATGAAATAAAATAAAATAAAATTAAATTAAATTTCTGATAAAAGTAGCATATAATACACCCAAGAGTGGAGACACTGATTACCTTCAGAACTTATTCAGTGATCATTTCAGTGGGGAAACTGTAAGAGAGCTGAAAGTGTGTAACTCCCGTAACATCAGAAAAGAAAATGTAAACTTATAATTTTGTTACCTGTAACTTACTAAGCAGCATTAAATAGCATACTTCACTAGGTTTGTTTGTTAATTTTTTTACTTTGCAAGGCTAGGGAGGGAACCCACGGCCTTCTGCATGGTAGGCAATGTGCTCTATGACTTAGCTACTCCCAAACTTAAGACTTTATTAAATTTAAATTAAATATAATAAAAATTTCCCGAAGATGATTATTTGAATTTAAATTATGCATTTATGTATATATGTATGTATGTATGTATGTATGTATGTATTGCGGCACCAGGGACTGAAACCAGGGCCTTTACACTGAGCTACATTCCTAGCCTTCTTATTTCGGGATATGGTCGCACTAAGTCACGAAGTTGCCCAGGCTGATTTGAACTTGTGGGCCTCCTGCCTCAGCCTCCCGATTGTTGGGATCTCAGGCATGTACCACCATGCCTGGCTTCTGCCTTTAGAAAACAAGGTTTCACTTACCTTACGTGGTGGTGTGGATTTCCCAGAATCTAAATCTAGATCCAAGTATTCCACTTGTTTGTCTCCTTTGGGCTTGATCATAGGACTGCTACCTCCATCCAGGCTATTACTGCCAAAAAGATTCTGAAAGCACAACAGAGTATAAAACCAGTGGTCAAATACACACGAGACTCACGGATTTATGAGCTCAGGCTATGCACCAAGGCTGCTCTTGAACTTCTGGGCCAAGTGATTCTCGTACCTCAGCTTCCTGAGTAGCGGGACCACAGGTGTGGGCCAGCATAGCCAACACACACACTACTCATCTTGTCTGCTGCCTACTGAAGCATAAATAACATTTGCAAGAGAACGGAGCTTGAAGAAATGTCTGCTTAGAAAGGTAAATTCGGGGATTAAAAGTAATATTTACAGCCGGGAATTTAGCTCAGCGGTTCGGTGGCCTACCTTGCAAGCTCAAGGACCCGAGTTCGATCCCCGGTACCAAAAGAAAAAAAGGAATATTTACAAATTGATTTAAATTTACGAGCAAGCTAAAAGTAGTTTCAAAGTTAAATTTGGGTAAGCTAAATAGGGCACTTCAAGCCACAGTTGGTTTTGAAAATGAAACTTGAATATTATTAAAATTTTATCTGCACTCAATTATATTGATATAAAGGATCCTTCACTCCTTAAGTTAAACTTAAAAAGATCTTTCTACATGTCATTCAAGGGCTGTAAGTAAAAAGTTTCTTTTGTAAATATGCTAACTAAAGGTTACAAATGATTCCACTGACAAGATCTGTTTTACTCTCTTCATCTGGGATTTCGGACACTGAATTTTCCTTCTCTTCCCTGGATCCTGTTTTCTTCCTAAAAGGAATTGCAAAATAGGTGCTCTCTAAAAGAACGTCAAGAAAATACAGGACACTGATAAGAACAAAAATCCTTGAGGCAGAAAATGCAGTAAATTATCAACAACCTGAAGAGCAATGTAAGAAACAGGAAGAATGGTACAAACTTACATCCCTGCATTCGTTCTACCCCTCGTACAGTGGGTTTCTGAATGTGCTCCAGCACATGTCCTGCTCCCACGACTCACTGCTTTTCCCGATCTAGAAACGCTACAGACTTCCCAGCAACAAGACCATCTATCTTCTCGACGGCCTCCACCATGTGGGTACTGAGGATCAGACATTACAAACTTACAGTTTTACCTGCTGGAGTGAACCCAGCAATATGAAAACTACATACACCTGACTCTGTTGTTTTTTAAGGCTGGGTCATGGCTTTTGTCGAGATGCCTCCAAAGCCTCATGCTTTGTAGGGGCTTTTTCAGGAGTGGCTGGATGCAGACTGTGTGAAGCTGAAATTGATTCTTGGTGCAATGCGAGGCTCCAGGGCACTGGAATTAAGGGTGTGAGTGCTACCTGTCCTAAGTAACGGGGATAAGGTAAAAGGGGCAGAAAGATACCCTTAAAGTTCTGTTGCTTTTGCTGTCTCCTGTCTGCCATGAACTGTTCCCCCTGCCATGTGTCTCCCTGCCTTGGAGCCAGCTGATTATGGACTGAAACTTCTACAAACTGTGAACTACATAAACACTTTCCCCTTTAATTTTCAGTGTCAGCTATTTTGTCTTAGCATCGAGAGAATAGTAACTCCCTTTTCTGAATGGCTCCATATTTCACTTTCACATTTAAAAAAGAAAAAAATCAACTGTGAGTACGGGTAATGTTCTGTCTTTAGAGGTAGCCAATGAAAGAAAGTGCAACCTGCATCTCCCTACCCAGAAATGCCTAGTGTTCACAGTATTATACAACTATCAAGGAAATCCACCGATTCATATGACCTGTATATTTAATCCTGATAAATCCTTCCTAAAGAAAATTTCTCGGGCCAGGGATTTAGCTCAGTGGTTCCGCTGCCTGCCTTGTAAGTGCAAGGACCCAAGTTCAATCCCCAGTACAAAAAAAAAAAAAAAAAAAAAAAAAAAA